AGTGGGTGCTGGCGACGTCGGGGGACGAGCGGAGAATCGAGGGGGGGCGGGCAAGGCATTATCGGTGGGCCCCCTGCGCCGCGGCGATACGAACGTACGGCCGTCCGGCGTGGGCTGGCTGAGCGCTTGGTCGGAGGCCCGAGCTCCCGAGGAAGCCGGCAGGAAGTTCGTTCACGTAAAATACTCGCGATGTGAGAGCGGCCTGACGAGAGGGGGGCGGGGGGGCACAAGCGTGACGAGCGGCGCGCCGCCCGGTCTGTGCGAGGCCCGGTTCCAGCAATACGTGACCTACCGTGGCAGTGTTTGTATTCTGAGATTCAGTTCGTGTTGGGAGGTTAAGCGGGCGAAAAGTCGACGGGCCGGAAAAGACCCCGCGCGGGCACGGCGGCGTACGAGTGCGTCCGCCTCTGTCGCTCGCCGCCGCCGCGTTGAAACACTGCGCTCATTAGGCGGGCGGCGCGAGGGGTGGCGCGGGGCCCGGCGCGAGGCTAGTCTCCTGCCTCGCGCTCCCGAGGAACTTTGATGAGGCGCCCGGCATTGATCTCCAAAACCGCCAAAAATGAGCATGTGCTTCTCGCGTTGAAGCGTTGTCCCACACGAACGCGAAGAATGAGAGGGCAAGGGCGTTCTGTAAAATTTGTTATAATATGAGACTTTTTGGAGCATTGGGGATGATTATGCGTTTTGCTTCCTGGAAAAAGCGACCCGAATTCGTCTGCTTCAGATACTATGAACCACGCGTAATGACATAACCGAATAGACTGTTCACAAATACTAGGAGCAGAGAACGTGAGGCAATCGTCAAGGGGGGCGGTGGCAAGGGGAAAGGAGCGACGCGGGGGCGGTAGGGAGGAGAGGATGTGCCGCGATGCGAAACGAAACAGGGAGAGTTAGGCGCTTGTTGCACTACAGCACGAGATGGACTCAGCTCGGCGTTACCTTGTCTAGACAAAGAGGGGAGAAGGTAAAGAGGGAGTGATTGACCTTCCATCCCTGTAGAGTGTATTGGAATATGATGGGGCGACGGGGACTCTGCGGTGACTGTGGCGAAAACCGAGAAAAAGCTGTGGATGTGGCTCTTTGCGTGTCGCAGCGCATCTGCTGCCACCCGCGCCGCGTCTGCCTCTGCCGCCGCCGCTGCCTCCACCTCCGGCCGCCTCCGCCGGCGCGGACGAACGCGAGCGGGTGGATGAGGAGGGGGGAGGCGGGCTCGGGCGAGCCATTTTGTCCGCTCGCAGCTGCCCTGGCACTGCCGCCGCTCTCTTCTCTTTCCGTCCTCCCGTCTCGTCTCCCGGCGCTCTCCCTACATGATCCCATTCATCGCGTCGCCGGTCTGCTTCAACTTTGCGGCTTCATTGCTCGGTGCAATCGACACGGTCTGCTTTGGTCATCTCGTGAGAATGAGAAATACGACACCCTGTGCCCTCAAGTTGCGCTCTGTCTTGTCTAGGATGGTTTCTGTGATAGCCGCTACGTAAGCTTGTTTCGTTCCCTCGCCTTGCTCCTCATTGTCGTGTACGGGCACCTCGTGGAGCTCAGCGGATCCCCGCGATGCGCATCGCCCGTGAACATGGCCGCATACGACGTCGGTCGGCTAGCCCGCGGGGCCTGGCTGGCTGCGGTCGTTCTCGCCCGCGCGGCTGCTTCGGGGGTGCGCGAACGCCGGGCCACCCGACCCGTGAGCCACGCTCGCCGGCTCCCAGCGTGGAGATTTTGCCCGGGCGCAAAGGGGAGCGGTTGGCGAGGACGCCCGCCTGCCAGGCTGTATTTTGGCGGGACGCGCCGCTGTCACTGGGATAGCGACCGCACCCGGCCGCGTTGTCGAGTGGCGCCCGAAGCGTCACGGGGGATCCCTTTCACCTCGGGCTTACGTTGCAAGCTCCCGCGCGAGAAATGGCATGTAACCCGTTTTCGGCTGCGGTGCTTCCAGTAACTTTTGGACTCCCGCTATGAAGGGAGTCCCGGAGACAGGGCTGTCCAGGTACATTTCTTCCCCACCCTTCCCCGTTCCCTCCCCTCCCGCGCCTGTTAATAGGCCCGGCCAGGCGGGCTAACGGACCGCAGTCAGGTACTCGCGGGCCGCGGGTGCGACGCTGGCGGGCATACAGGGCACACAGCACAGCACAGCACAGCACAGCACCGCACGCCGATATGACCGCCGGGTGCGGTGTTGTGCGACGGGTTTCAACCTGCAAAACTGTAGAACCCGCGGCCCAAGTACGGTCTACGCGTACCGGAACTGTCATTTCATTGTTCATTACACAGTTTTTGATTATCTATGTTTACCCTTTAACGCCCATGTTACTTAGCAATTCATTTTCGAATTGTTGTAAATACCACTCAATGTATTTCTTTATTACACTACCTTTTCAACTTCGACTTTTCAATTGAAGGTATCAATAATTCAGTTTATGAATTATTAATGGTGTCATTATCAAGGAAATCTAAAGTACAAGGTTTGCTTCCTCAATTGCTACGGGCAAGAGTTGCCAAAGTAATTTAAAAATAGACTAGTGTCTGGGGGCGTACTTTGTGTAGAGAGAAAGAAGAAACAACATAGAAAGAACCCGTCGATGGCCCTGAAATTGAAACGTTTCGTTAATGGATATTGAATGTTCGTTATTGTAATGTGTAAATTCAGCTTCAGCACTGTTAGTGTTTTGTTTTCTTAATCCGAAAACGAGGATTTTGCTCAAAGCGGTGTACATATTTCGCAGTTTTATTCGTTCGAATATCGTGAATCTACAAAGAACCAAATTCTATGCGGAAGGTATAGAGAATGTTGTACGTTTTTACGAAATAGCTCACTTCAGATCGTTCTGTACTAAAGTATTTGGTATTGAATTAATTTGATATTAATGTGTAATACTTCCCCGTTTCAATATGCTTAATCTCTCAACAAATTTAAATCTATTTCTCTTACATAATGTTATATTCAATTACTTTTTCTCTTTTATTTCCTTTCCCGAATTGTGATAATTTAAAAAAAAATCGTTTTTCATGTGCTAGCAGTTTTGAAATCAATTGAAAAAGATTCCATTTAGAGAAACGCTATAAAATATTTGACTACGTATGTGGGGGTTGTGGTTAAATTAGATTTGTACAAAAAATCACACCGAAGAAAATCGTTGCCGAATAAGATGTTATAGTTCATGGTTTGAAATTCGGCATTGCTATATTTGTATTTAATCTATTCTTACACAATGAAACTCGCTCGAGCGGCCACATTCATTAACGACTTTTCTCGTGGAACAGATTTTTTTCTGAGATCTCGACGCTTGTCTTCGTTTCAGTGGCCACCTGGCTTAGGTGCGAGGTACATTTCATGGTTTGTCCTCTATGAAGGGTCGCCTCTAGCAATTTTGAACTGTAATGGCATAAAGCCGAAGGCTGGTGGTATTGATGCAATGCCTTCCTGCGACGTTACGCACTGTCATATTACTTCGAACAGTGACATGTTGCAAGGGTTTAATTTTTGTTTAAGGTAAAAACAGATTGTTTTAGTAAATGTTAGTAAAATAACGCGTTCACTTCGGGTATCCCAAGCTTTCTCAGGTACTTCTCTAATTCCCCTGCTTCCACCAGCGGCCACCAACCTGCCACCAGCGTGATTACCCCATAACCGACACTGCTGCCACTGCAGCCCCCGTCCATCAACACTGCGACCTCCAACCCTCTCCGAAACTGCAACCACCGCCGATCCAACTACCATCGTTTAGCAGCGATATTCATTGCTCATTGGCTTGGCCACGTGGGTTTACAACACTCAATCGATTCGCGCCCCCCCCCCCTCTTGTAAACACTACTAGAGTCCAGACGCTAAGTGAGGAATGTGTTCGGTACTAATCCTCCAGTTTTTACTTACGGATGACGAATTGTGAGTGGGATGGACGAAGGGCAGTGGAGGCAGAGCAGGGTGCCATGGTAGGTTGGCTACATGGAGTTGGAGGGTAATGGAGTGGTTGGGGTGCGCCGGTGATGTAGTAGGTGGCGGTGCGTGAGAATGGACGGTGACAGGTAGGTAGAATGAGTGCGACATTAGAGCTACAAAAGTTTCCTTCCCTGACATTTCGCTCGTTCAGGTTTGTGCAAACGAGGCCGCACCAGACTTTTTGTTTATCCAGTTGACAGTTGAACGCAATGGTGCCCTGTTCAGGGCAAATATTAAATATTTTAAAATGTTGACATATACTCTGTGATCCACAAGTTGCTAATATACCACATGAAAACTAATGACATAATTCATATTACCCCAGGCTTGATCTCAAATTATCCGTGAGTAATGTAAAAAGAATGTAGCTGAATATATTTTTTAACCTTTTCTTTATTTACTACCATTTGGAGTGTCAATTTGAAAATTATCACCACTTTTTTTCCTTTTCTTCAAACGGCTGTCATGCCACAAGGGAAAAAAGCTTACAACTTTTAAAAATAATAGTGCATGCAAGTAAAGTTTCCATTGCTTTTGTCTTCTTTAAGATCTGATATTAAGAGATGTATCTGAACATTATGCATGGAGATCTTAACCATACTTTTGTACTGCATGTATTGATTTTTTTTTTGTCATCTATAAATATATTGTGAGAAATGCAAATGTATACTATAATAATTAGTTAACTAGCATTGTTCCACTTTAAGATCAGAGCTACTGATTCTGCTTAAGTTTTAAGAAGGGGGAAAAGCATTCATTTTATTGGTATAAAGTGATAAAATCTTTTGTGACTATAAATTGTACAAGTTGTCCACCCTGACTGTATTTCAAATAGGAAACATTTAATTTAGAGATAACTTATTACTGCACCTGCACAAAGCAAATCATGTGTAAGAAAAGCATTTTGAAAATTATAGTAAATTTCAGTTAACTGAAATTTAAATTTTCTTACATTATTAATTAGGGCATTAATAAGGTTCTAGTTTCGCATGAAGAAAAAAATGTGCTGACTATAATGCAAATTGATAATAATTATAGCATTTTCTAATACAAATTCTCCTTTTTTCAGGTGCCTTAGAAGAAGAGTGTGATAGCAGGGAAAAAGACCAGTCTCTAAATGGTAAACAACGCCATCAACTGAAACATAGAGAGCTGTTCCTGTCACGACAAGTGGAAACGCTACCTGCCACACATATTCGGGGCAAATGTTCTGTAACATTACTTAATGAGACAGAATCCCTCCTTAGTTATTTAAATAAAGATGTAAGTATGATTCTAATTCATAATCATTCAACATTCTCAAATTTTGTTGAATCTTAAATTGAATGCATAAATGAAAAAGTTCATAAATTAATATTTTTAGATCAGTATTAAATTAGTAGATGAATATTAAATACACAAATTGAACATTAGGTTGTAATGTCAGTGGTTATTTCCAAAAAAAGTTGTTGATGGGAAAATTTTACTTTTTATAACTTGTTTCCTTTTCTTTTAACAGGACACCTTTTTTTATTGTCTGGTTTTTGACCCTACTCACAAAACTCTTTTAGCGGACAAAGGTGAAATCAGAGTGGGCAGTAGGTACCAGGCAGAACCCACACCACTTCTTCGAGAAGGTAAAAATCCCTGCAATTAGGGGTTTTATGGAGTATAATTAGTTCATGTATTTTAAAATTTGCATCGTTATTTTTATGATACTGGGGGGGGGGGAGGTTGTGATGTAATAAATCATTCAATTTTTTTAACATCCAGTATTTATTTAATAATGGAAATATATACAACAATGAATGCAATCTCTCGTTTATGTAATTTTGGCAGAGAATTTTATCTTTTATCTTGTAATTTTGGCATTGGGTGTTCAAAAGATAAATAGATATATTTTGTGACAAAATAAATTGTATTACTCAATCACACATTCACTATAAAATTTGAATGAAACTGCATCAATCATTTCGGAGTTTGTTCTGCATGTATATGTTTCTTGGATATCAGTCTTCATAAGATTGACCAAGTCCTTATGGAACATGCTGTTAGAAGAATATACCTTTATTGGGATTCTTGAAATTCTATCATTTGATGATACAATATTGTGTATTTACATTATTTTCTTCAAAGCAATATTAATGTAATGAACACCTGCATTTCAATATCAAATGTGCGTGTGTCACATGGAAACACACATTAAGTTGTGCAGTGTCATTTTGTGCCTTATACTTGTCATTGTTTGTTGTTTTTTGTTTTTTGTTGTTTTTTTTGCGTATTTTGTATAATATTGTTTGAACATTGGTAATTTCATTCTTGTAAGTAATAGAAAAATATTTTTTGAGTAAAATGTACTTCTGTGTTTCAGATGAGAAAGATGAGCGAAATATTGAAGAACTTGAAACACTTGTGTGGACACCAAACCATCATTTAACAGATCGACAGATAGATCAATTTCTAGTTATTTCGAGATCAGTTGGTACCTTTGCTAGAGCTTTAGATTGTTCAAGTTCTGTCAAACAGCCAAGTTTACATATGAGTGCAGCAGCAGCATCAAGAGACATTACCCTTGTATGTACTTTAATGAAGTTTTGGGTTATAAATGTTTATGAATGGTGAAAATTATTAATTTGAAAATCCAGATATCTAATGTTTGAGCAAACTAATTTTCCTTCATTACATTTTCTTGCTTTGTTGAAAAATGTAATTTGGAAATATTGAACATTTGAAGGCATTAACAATATATTACCTTAGGTTTTCTTGATTTTAAGCTAAATTAAAAATAATGTACTTAATTAAGTATATATTAATAAATACTGAGAATAAGAAGGCAGATAAGCAAAACTATCTGGTCAGTAAAATTATCTTTAATAAAGATGATTCGATGTATGTAGAAAAAGCAAGGTTTCTCAAGACTGCGCAATCATAATCATAATCATAATCATAACCATTACTGGCAGAAAACTTTGGTTTATGCAGTCAAGAATTTTTTAAAATTAAACTATTTACATATGCATGAAATGCAGAATACATTGGTGTGCGTCAGTGAATTTAATTTTTTAATGAAAATCAAGGAATTTATTTAAATGTATGTATTAATATTATAAGATTTTAAGATATTATCATATCACTTACTCTTAGATCTGAGAAAACAAATGTCACATTGTACCTTTGGGGCTATTGTAATGCTATCACTTCTGATAAATTTTTTGAATATACCATATGCGTTAACGAATTCCACAGAATTATATTACAAAAATCAAAAGACAGTGATAGTCTACTATAGTGTTTAAAGTTTTAAAAAATCAGGTTCATCTACATGTTGCCATTTCATGTTTTTGCAATTTGTAGCAATAGATTAATAATTTGTCAAATTGGAATGTAGCCTAATATTTAATTGAAAGACCAATACATAAAGTATATGTCCTCAAAAAATATTTTAAGAATGTGTTTTGAGAGTGTTCAGTATGATACTTTTTTCGGGATTAAAAATTTAGTTGTTTTGCTACACAATTTACCCTGAATTTGAAATCCTAGCAGCTTTTGATTCTGAAGTATATTCTCCAGAATTTTATTAATAAATAATTTCCTTTTGGATGATGATGATGATAAAATATTTTCAAAATTGGAAAACTTCAAGATTATACAGGTTTTTTGTTATTTCAAATGTACATGTAATTCCTAGTTTCGATTCCTAGTCATGATGACTATTCCTTTGAACACTTCAAAAATATGTTGTTGTAAAATTGTTGCCTTGGCTTCATGAGAGAAACCTGCATTTTTATGTCTATTGACCACATGAATGAATTTTTACTAATTTATAGTGGTATAATTTTGTTTTATTGAAAGATTTACTTGTTTATAATATCTATTCCTTGCATATATATATATATATATATATATATATATATATATATATATATATAGATATATATATATTCATTCAGTTTCATTTGGTGAAATTAATGTGTGTTCGTTATACCAATATTTATTAGAACATTTTTTTTTTTATTTTAGTTTCATGCAATGGACACGCTTCACAAGCACACATATAACATGGCTGAAGCTATTAGCTCACTTGTTCCTTCCACTGGTCCAGTCTTGTGTAGAGACGAAATGGAAGAGTGGTCAGCCTCTGAGGCTAATCTTTTTGAAGAAGCTTTAGAAAAATATGGCAAAGACTTCAATGATATTCGACAGGATTTTGTAAGTATATATTTTGTTATCATTGTTCACTGTAAAATATTTTATTTATAACATAGCATTGATATTTAGTGACAAACTCGCAGGTTCTCTAGCATTGGTACAATGTATACAGACCTAATAATTTAGTATATTATAAGAATTATTGTGATTTTTGTTATTATGTTTTTCTCTTGTGATGGATCATAACTTGAATTCATTGACTTCACTAAGTATACTATTATTGAATCTATGTTCTATGCTAGTAAACCTTACTAGTTTTGTTATGCATATTGATGTCTTCATATTTTTAAATTTCTAGTTACCTTGGAAAACATTGAAGAATATCATAGAATATTACTACATGTGGAAAACAACAGACCGTTACGTACAACAAAAAAGAGTGAAGGCTGTTGAAGCAGAATCAAAACTAAAACAAGTGTACATTCCTAATTAGTGAGTACTTGATTATATTGAGAATTTGAAAATTAATATTACACTAAATATTTTACCCCTAAGTGAGTTACTGAATAATTACCAAAAATACTTTCAGTTGTGTAATGAATACAAAACATTAAACTACAGTAAAATCTGTCTAAACTGGAACCTGTACAAGCCGGAAACCTGCCTTGTCCAGAGAAATTTTCTAATTATGAAGTTAAATGTCATTTTACGCATCAAAAAGTGGAACCTCTCCAACGCAGAAATGTTTTTTTTATGTCCTGCAGGGAAGAAAATCTTTATCAAACAGAATTCTTCTGAATTTAATGCAATTGTGTGAGAAATGCGAGACATTTTACATTCCCTATCCCTGTGTTTATTTGTGGCATCTGGACATTGAAGGAGAGGGGCTTCAGCTGTCAGAGTGCAATTTGACCTTGGAGTCTCTTGACTGTCGAGGCATAGGCCATCGGGGAATTCCCTATCTTCCGTCTCTTTAAGCATGAGAAGGTGTATGATCATGGCTTCTGTTCACGCGTCCCAATGCCCAACGATGAAAATCTTATCCCCTCAACGATATACGCATTGCTCAAGGCCATGCGAGGGTGTCAAAAAGTTATAGTACTGGGTTGTGACACATAGTGCTTTGAAAGAGGCAGCAAACTGTTCGCATACAGCCAGTAAGGTGTATATCTTTTAACTCGGAATCTGTGAATGAAGTGTTTAATATTAATGTATGGGTGATTTCTTTCATAAATACGTTAAATGTTAATATATTTTGATAATTACTACTGTAATTTACTGCTTTCAGGGCAGAAACATCAATATCACAGGTGTCATAAAACGAACAACCTTGCTTAAAATGGAAACCTCTAATCCGGACTACTTTTGTGTCCTGACTGATTCTGGCTTAGACAGATTTTACTGCAATTTATGAAATCAGTGTGTTTTGTTAGAGTATGCTTTATTTTTTGTGTTTATAGGATCTTTATTTTACTTCGTAATAAAATTTGATATCTTTACAACAATAAGTGTCTATTACAAATCTCTTGACACATGTTATATAATATTATAAATTATACATATTATAAATGTTCTTGGATTCATCTACGTTTTCTGTGTTGCGCAGTACATAAAATGCAAGCTTGAGTTCATTTGTGGTTTTAAATTGTGCATAGTTGAAGGAAATAATTTTTTGACATCATTTTCTAAACTGTGATTTTTTTATGGAAGTTTTGAGAACATTAGGGAATGGTATTGTAGTGTTAAGATGCAGCATGATTATGGTGCATTACTATCATGAAATGAAGGGTAGATTAATCTGGACCTCATTTATGAAAGAGTGAAATTCTCAACAATATCACAGCCTTTACAGTAAGTTTGGTACTTTTGCTTTGTTCAACCTTCAGTTATTTTTATTTTGTTTTCAGTAATAAACCCAATCCTGCTGTAATAAATAACAACAAAGGTGTTGTAAATGGCAATAGTAATGGTGACGTTCCCATAGGAGGAAAGGCATGTGAATCGTGCAATGGTAAGAATCTGGAGATATATTTCGGCATATTTTAAATTCTATTGTCTATTTTGAATGCAAGTAATTTCAATGATTTATATGATTTTTCAAAAACTATATATTATATTCTCAAAAGTACATTCGAATTAAAAAAATCTATTTTAAGGTTTATCATGTTAATATTTTTAGTGTGTGTGTATACGGGCAGGCAGGCAGGCATACATGCGTGAAATTGATGTGGATTTGTATATACATGAGTGTGCGGGTACATGTGTACAATAAAATTGATAATTGATGTATACAAAGTTCTATTTGAACAAGAATTACGGTGTTTTGGAATTCTGTATAACTCTACCTACTATTAACTACGATTTTGTAATTTTTGTGCTTTTTAGTTGCTATAGCCACCAATTATCAAGGTATTTTTTCTGATAATACTGATATAAAACATTTCCAAACTATCAATTCATAATCCTACATTCTTGTTTTTTACACATTGTGTAATCCAAACTTCACATCTTTTCGGGAGTGGGTACCAAGATGTACTGAATTATGTGTTACAAATGAGTGCATGATGCAACATGCATTTTCATGATGCTTTGATATTGGGAGACAGCATTTCAATATTTTATCATTACATTCATCTTGTAGCCTGCGCAATAGTTGAATCTCTGCCATCTGTTCATAAATACTTCAAATCAACAAAGTCTGCACATTGCTGGCAACAAACGGAAAGCATCTTTTCCAAATAGTGAACCAAACCACCAACTTTTCCAAACAGCTCAAAATTAATGTTGCAAACTAAAATAAAATAAAAAAGGCAAAATTTCTTCCATTGCAAATTTTAGATTGGGACAATTGTGAGATGTGGCATAATTCTGTCTTGTCAAATGATTCGCAAATGTCATTATAAATGAATAATTCAAAAGCTTACTTGCCGTAATGTTTCAGTTCTTTGAAAAATATTTTAAAAGAAAGATCATTGTTTCATCAAGTTGCCTTTAAACCAGGAAACAATTCTCCTTGTTCTGTTCAACTATTATTCTCAAAAATCAATAGTCTCTGTTGCTGCTTTGATGTTATATTTTTTGTACACTCAGCGTTTTTTATTTTTTTATTTTTTTATTTTTAGGAAATACTGCTGATACATATATATTACTTTTATTCTCAATGAGATGGTGATCATCTGTCGCTAGTAATTTACTGCAATACATTCAATATTTTAACAAAAACAGCCTTCACGGGTACTACAATAACAGTGTAGTATATGCATGCAGTTTTTTTTAACATACCAAGAACATCCAAAAAGCTGCTGTTCCATGATGCAACACATAAATAGCAAATATTAAATGGAGGGGGTGTCTCTTCTTTGGAGCTTTTTTGTTGTATGATGTCAGGTGTGTTGCATGTAGTGATGTGTTGAGAATGAGACTTCAACCATTACGCACAGTATCTGAAAGGGTGGAATAACGCAATCATTTTTTTCTTTTTCAAATGAAATCAAAACTTTCATTGGTTCATATTCGGCGGTAAGAGCGGTAAAGATTTGAGTAGATAGTGAAAATAGTGTGTCCTAATTTTACTTTCACGTTTTGCGTAAATTTAGCCACTTGTGGACCATGTGAAATCTTGAACATGTCTCGTTGTTAAAAATGCTCTTAGCCATTCAAAGGAAAATAATTGATTTAATAATTTCCATTTTTTATACTAGAATCATAAGTCCCAGAGTACAACTAAACAAAACATGTTTTTGTGCATATACTCTTTGCCACACATCATCACACTCCACCTCTCTCCAACAAAATATCAGATTGGGAACAGAGTATGTATGTGTCTGTGTGCATATTATGGATGGATGTATAGTGTTTCTGTGGATGTAAATGTGTGTGTGTGTGTGTGTGTGTGTGTGTGTGTGTGTGTGTGTGTGTGTGTGTGTGTGTGTGGATAGGGGTGTGCATGCACGCTATTTGGAACAGTGTATCATGTGTACTCGTGTAATGTGAAATTTTATCCCACTACTCTGCAAACAAAGGCAATAGAACATTCATGCTGGTTTTGTCCTTATTAGTTATTTTATTACACTGTCATTGCACCTGCAAAATAAATGTCTGTGTACACTTTCTAAGCAACAAGTTGTGTGCAATTTAAAAAGCAAAGAGCTACTAAGAAACGGTTCCTTAATCATAGCTTAATTGAAGGAAATATATCGAGGTATTGACACATGCAATGCAAAATAATCATTGAGTGTGTTTAACGTCTCCTCTGTAAAATGACATTCACTTCACGTGGCCGTTTTTACAGGCTCAATGAAAATATATCACTGCCTTTTGTGAGAATGAAAGCGAATGTACATTATTTGTTTTAACTCAATGTATTGAACAGTATTTATAGTTGTTACTTCTTGCTTCAAAGTCATTAGTTTTCCCTTACTTTCAGTTACAATCTCATCTCAGTGGTATGCATGGGGCCCATCTCATATGCAATGCAAACTTTGCCACAATTGCTGGTTATACTGGAAAAAATATGGTGGTTTGAAGGCTCCTTCCAGAATAGGTGAGAAAGCAATTTCTTTCTGCATTTGGTATTCTGGAGAACATTGATCTATAGATCTGGATGTTTGTGGACAAAAGTATTTTTGCTCGCCTAACTTTCTTCTTTTGTGAAAACAGGTGAAACAGAGTCGGATAACAAGAAAAAATCTGGCAGCATCTCAGATGATGGTGATTATTTCATATACATTTATATATAAAATATGTTTTTAGAACTTATGGTCATTGAACAATTGGGTAAACTGTTTTAATACTTTGTTTCAGAGAGAGTGCCTCCAAGTATGACATCGCATAGACCACATCGATGTAGTTTAGTCAATTGTGGCAAGGTAAATGTATGATTGACTCTATTTTTCTTTTCCAAATTGTGAAATAAGACAATTGCTTACAATCATCTTTCTATAAAATTGTGTTCAAAAGAAGGTTGAAATTAATTTTATAGGAATTGAGAACAGCAGGGATTTGTTTCCAATTACATTCTTTTTAGTTTAGTAAATACTTGTCTGTCATAGTTCCTTAATATTTTGTAACAAAGTGCTTCAGAAAACTTGTTGGAAAGAATAATAATAGTTGAAACACTAAAACTCATTCTATGCCTTGTTTTGCTAAGATCAATATGTTTTAAATAATTTTTAACATACCTTCAAAAGTTGGAACCTTAATCAATCGTAATTAAAGATTTCCATTTTTTCTTGGGTGACTTGGAAAGTTTTCTACAGTATTCTCACACTAACATTTTTTTGATCTGTTGAGACATTACGTTCAGGTGGCTTCTTTAAACTAAGTTGTATTGTGTTTAAGGGCTTATTCGGTTATTATGTAATGTTCATCGTATTATTTTTAGGTTTAAAGTAAGTTATTTTTAAATAAGATTATTTTTTCATCCATCTGATTATAACTTAAGATATGGGACAAATCATTTTCTAAAATATTTTTATTTACTGAAGATTGAGTAACTTTTGTAGAGAAGTTCAATTAGGATGTATTATTTTTCTGAAGTGAAAGCATGTCATTCTTTGCATCAAATTAATCCTTATTTTAAAGACCTATTGATGCGAGGCACAAGGGTTGACATGACTGTGTAAGTTTGTAAAATTTCTTGTAAATTTTATACATAACATTTTATTGCTGAAATACTCAAGTTTTGACAATCTGAAACGATTGGAATAAAAATATTGTAGACATTTAATGTTAGTAAAGTATCTAGTTCACGGATGTGAGGAATTTTCAAAGTTTATTCTTGGAGGCAGGGCTCTATCTTTTACTTTTAGATTATCAGTAATTTTTAAGTTTTCATTATTCTACAGATTTTATATAAATTTAAAATATGATCTAAATAGAAAGGCATTAATTTTCCTATTTTTTAATGAAAAATAAATTTCCTTAAAATATATTTATTAATTAACTGTGTTACAGGAGTTCAAATTGAAAGCTCACTTGGCACGACATTATGCCACAGCTCATGGTTTAGCTATTAGATCCGGTTCTCCGAGGCCAATAATGAAGACCCGATCAGCGTTTTATCTTTGTACAACACCCTTGACCCGTATATCAAGACGTCTTTGTAGAAATCTTATACAACCTCGACACGCAGCTAGGTCTCCATTTTGGCCAATTAACATCCCTTCAGTGAAACAAGAATGTAAGTACTTCATATTTTAATTGTAACATTTATTATTAGTATTAAGATTGGAAACTCATTCCTATTTTCAAGCACTAGCTGTAATCAAAACGCATTCTGATTTTAGAGTACTAGCAAACTATATAGGAGTACTTCCATTCTTTGTAATGTTGGATTGGTGCTGAATTACTTCTTTAATGGATATTACAAGTTTCAAATTTCAATGATTCTGGAAAAGTAACGTTAATGCCAGATCCATTTAAACTAGTTCATAATTTTTGCCCCAGTGCAGTACAATAAGAGAGAATGTTCCAAAGGATGTGTGATTAAAGATGTTTCTCGATAATTAATCATTTCTGGTATCTTCATAGAAAATACAGTAAACATCAAAAATCCGGATTAAATTCTGGCAAAAAACGATCATATAAAATGAACACTCAGTGTGTACACAATTATAGTAAAAAGCATCAACATGACTAAATTGTATTAATACTATCGATTGCAGAAATATTATGTAGATAGTAAATCTAGTCTTACAGGATTAATATCTATACCTTTTTCTATGTGTAAAATAAGATACTTTATGAACTGTACAATAATGTTTTTTCTGTAATTAAAAATGTCTATGTTTTTATGGTTGATAAATGATTTTATTCATCTGCTCCAGTCCTGTAATCATCAGAGAGAGAGAGAGAGAGAGAGAACTTAATAAATCTTCTATAATAGGAAATCTTACACATTTTATTGATTCCTTTCTAAATTATCACATAGCCCATATTTTTTAATGGATTCAGAAAAAATTAATCTGGATTATTGATGTTCTTCTGTAAATGTATGTTTGGAAACAAGTCTTTGGTTTCGAATTTGGCTAGTTCATGGTGTTTTTGCATTAAAAAATAATTATATTTTTATTTTTTTAACTATTGCACATGAGGCTTCAAGCTTACTTCTTTTGTTTATATCAAAAAGAAAATTTGTGAAATTCTTATAACATTCGGACAAATTGGAAATTTGCTGAACAATTTATACTTTTGAACCTTTCATATAATTTCCCTCTACATTCAACATTCAATATGCTTATTAATTTTTCAAAAATAATTGCCAAGTTCACTCTTTCCTGATTCCTTTGGATCTTGAGAACACTTGTCTAACAAGACTTTAGAAAGTATTTTTTCATTTGAAAATCATCTCTTTTTCATCACCACAATCATCTGAAGTATAATGTGAAATTATGGGAAAGAAAAGATTTGGTGAAATGTGGGGTGTTCAAGCTCCTGAATCCAAAATTTGCTGTATTCATGACACAAACTTATTGCTTGTATGCAAGGGGAAAATGTAGTGAAGAAATAATGTCCAATTTTGGGTATGGAAAAATTTTTTGAAGGCTAGAAGAGGTAGTTGTAGACAAGTTCCTGCGCATCTTGTGAAGGTGCATATATGCATGCACCTGCCTTAGTTGTGGCAAACAAGGCATCTATGTTGGTTTTTTCAACATATGATTTTCTCATAGATATAATAAATTGTTAGTCTGTATTTCAGATTTAATGTGTAATATTATAGTTGTACAGTAAAATTTGTAATTCATGTGAATGTTATGAGGGCTCCTCCACCCCAACTAACCAACCAACATCTTTTTGTAATTTTACTCAATTTATTCAAAACAATTATGAATTAATCTTGCATTCAAAGGTTATTTATGTCTTCTCTCTATACATAACTAAAATTGCTCCCCCTTCACATTTTGTTTGGATACACCCTAGTCATTGCTATCTAAAACGTCTTATGTGATGCTACATGTTGTCCAGTCCAGTATGTTAAATGGAAAAAGTTTTCTACTGTGAAAGATAATGATGACCCCCATCAATAGGCACCAACTTGTAGTTTCTAATTACCCCCTTGGAAATATCTGATAAGACTTGAATACAATTGTAATTTTCCTAAAATGCTGTGTTTTGGGATTATTAATTAGCTTTAGTATATGGCAGTTTAAGGAAATGTTCTTACATTGTTAAGTCATGGTTGTTACTAATTGTTTAATATTAGAGGTGAGGCATTCTGTGTGCTTATTTACAAGTAAACCTTTCTTATTTCCCTGTTCCATAAGGCGCTGGTGACGTTACATATTTCACATCAGGTAATCATAATTTTGCAACCAAAAAACTTTGGAATCATTTTATATCGGTAAATACGTGACACAAATTATTCCAAAAGAAGCCTTATGTTAAACAGGATGTTGGCATTTCCGCAATTTGGAACTAAGCTGCTCACTCATGCCAACTCGCATACACTGAAAAGTGAGTCTCTCAGCAATGCTGGTTTTAACTGAAACTCATTATGTGTGACTGTACAAAGAATTGCTTGCTCCCAACTGAGAATCGTATACTGATCTTCCGGTATACATCCAGTTCCTGTAACCATATAAGCTACCTTCCAACGGCCTTAAAGAGTTAAAAGCTCTTTTGTCTGTTATACTTTACATTTCATCAGGTGGTGAAATTTAATAAGAATCTCTTATGTTCATATGTGCTTCTGTTGTTCCGCAAAACTTTCAGTATGTCTTATGTAGGTTATAATTTATTGCAGGAAAAAGAAATTCTCTGAAACACTTAAAATTTGGGTGATTTTCTGAAATGTTTGTTAATTATGTTTCACAGATGATTTTTATCATTTCCATCAACTTTTTTTGTCCAATCATTTATGGAGACAAATCCATAATTCAACTTAAAAAAAAAAAGTTAAACTCGCAAGATGTTTATATAT